GAGCTTCAAGAAATGAAGGAAGCTAGTTCATGTTAGATGCAGTATGAAAAAAGGAGGATGATGGAGGCATGGAAGGAGTAGTCAAAGTGGCTAAGCAAATGATATTTCTGTGATGGTCTGATATCTATTTTGAATCACCAAAAGTGGAGCCAGAATGTGTTTATCAAAGATATAATGATGAATTAATTCAGATACAAGATATCTAGCTAAAATTAGACATGAAAGTTTATCTATCTGGATGGATAGGAAAACCCTTATCTTAGAGGTATAATAAAGAAAACATATAAAAGATACCAGTACAGCCAAGGTATAGGGACCTGAAGAAAGCCTGAGTCAAAGTTAACACCCACCCTAAAAGCCTTCTTTACTGTTTTGGTTTCTGAAAGAGTAAATGGAATGAACTAAAAAGAAAGAAAAGAGCCTAGGATTATTCTAAACTTGCTTTTATAAGCTGCATGCATATCTCTGATATGATATGTAGTGGGTCATTTGAGGTTAGGAATTCAGAATCTTTCATTGAGGAGGTGGTAATGATGGGATGCAGATGGAGAAATGATGAAGGGAATAGATAGAATGCTGCTGGATGCAAACTCTCTGTTCCTCTCCAATCAACAAAATTATTCTTGTATTTAGTATTCAGCTTCTTTGTTTTTAAAGACCAAAGTCTTGTCTCCTTCAGGCTCTGAAACTCAATCGGAGATTTTTAGTTTCATGTCTTGGCTTGTAGCAGGGACATAAGATACTAATACAAGATGTGGACCTTGGTGTCTTTATGAAAGCAAGCTGTGGCCTGTGAAAATATTTGCAACCTCATAAAGAATATATCTAGTGAGGAAAAGTAATCGAGAATTTATTTTTAGCATGCACTTGGTTTCATATTGAGTTGCAGAACCCTGATGTTTTCTGGCTTTTCCAGTGTCGTAGCAAGCAGAGGGGAAATTGGTGGTAGGTACAGCATGGAGTAGAAGGCACAAGGGACTACAGCTGCTAATCTCAGCTCTGATACTGGGTGACTGTAACCCTAGACAAGTCACTTTGCTTCACAGTTCCCTATCAGTAAAGAACAGGAGGTTAATGCTTGTTAATACTTGCTTCTCTCATGTGAAATGCAAGGATTAGAAGAGCTGGTGTGTGTCCAGAGCATCCAACATGTGAGACCTAAGTGCTTTTACAGCATCTTTTGTCCTAATATAGGTCCTCTCTATATTATCCCAGTACATAGTGTGCATGCTGCTGGCCGGAGGCTGGGTCTTTCCTTTCCTTGAACCTCCTTGCAATGGCTCTTACAGAGTGGGTTTTCTTATATTTTCACAATGGGAGGACTGGTGCTGTCAATCTTACATAGACAGAATTAAAAAAAAAAAATAAAAGCTTCATTCACCAATAAGTTGCTTTACATCTCTAAATGTAAGAGGAGAGTAGTTCTGGTTACCGTTCCAGGATTTTTAGAATTTGCTTGCTTGCTTAGAATAAATGGGAAAAGTAGTACTATAGTGAAATGAGAACCTGTCATATCTGGGGAAGATAAAAGGGAAAGGAAACTCAGGAAAATGCTTCTTAGTGTTTTTCACCCCTAGAGACTACATGTTATTTACCTTCTCCTAGATCCTCCAAGAGCTGGCATTGGCATACTTCCAATCCTATAGCACTTTGCTAAAGTAAAGGATTTTAGACACTGATGTGAGCTCAGGAGATCTGGATTCTTTTCTGTGCCATGGATTCAGGAAAGATGTAGTGTCTGTATGCCTTATTTTCCAGCCTCTGGAATAATGTTCTTTCTTTCCTTTGCTTTTTCTGTTTGGCTTTTCAGAGTGTTTATTCTCTTCTTCTGTGGAGTCACTTAGGCACACTCACACATACACAGATGGATAGATGCAGATATACAGCACTTAGTGGGGTTTGTGTAAGCTGTGCAGTGATAGTTAGAACCGGTGCAACACTTGGAAATGTTTAAACCCCTCTTGCTGGCCTGTTTGGAAATAACAAGTGTACTACTACTGTGCCATGTAATGTGCCAGGAGAACATTGGCTTGCACAGAGATGGAGGCAGGTGCTGAATTATGCCCTTGTTTAACGGAAAATCTCCTAGTTGGGGGCTATCCTAAAAAACCCATGTCATACTAGAGGGAAGAGGGTTGGCGGGTGACCAGCTGCAAATCCGAACTCAGGAATCCTAGCTGCAACATAGCCACGTAGTACTTGTGGAGTGATTCCTGCAGCATTTATTTCTTGCACTTAGCCACTGGGGAATGTGTTTGTCATCCTTCTCACTCATGTCACGTTGGGGGCTTTGTCAGATCAGAATACATCGTCGCTGTGCTTCTCCGTGTCCCTTGAGTTGTCATAGGCACAAATCTTTTTCAAATGCTCTCCCCTGTTCATTTCCATTATTATATCTAGTGCTTCTAGGTGGCAAGCAAAAAATGAATAACCTTGTAAATGCTCCCTGTCTTTCAATTTGTTTTATTTTTCATACAACGTGTCAGTGCATTTTTGTTGAGTGTTTTTAATAAGATGAAGTTGATGAAAATAAATTGCTTTGCAGTTCCTGCTGTGGGTGACAGAAATGCTGGGTCTGTAATTTTCCAAAACTGCACATTTGAAAGCAGTGTGGAGGGTGTTCTATATGCCTGTAACTGCAATCATCTTTGTAATATACCTCCCAGAAAAGGAAAGCAGCTAGCAATTTGAATTTTGGGGGCAAGATGCACTGCTGGTATCCAACTTCTGCTGGGCACAGTGAGAGAGGGAGCTGTCAGGAAGAATCTTAGGATTGATTCTGTGCCAGGCTTGGGTCTGCCATATTGGATAGTTAGCCACATCTGTCTCTAATGAGAGACAGAGGAATGAATTATATAGCAAGAATTATATGTTATCAGATTGTCTCCTAGCCAAGGCTTAGACAGCAAGGACTGGGACTTGACCATGTGGATACCCCAGTGCCTCTGGCTACTGCATATCAGCTTTCTTCTGAGCATTTCAATGACTTGCTCAAAAAATGTAATGTGAATACACGGTGATCTCCAAGTTACCAAGGTGTACTCAGTAGACAGTCTGGTAACTACTTATCTGTCTTTGAGAGAAGATAAGCCACATATTCCAAATGTGATTTTCAAATTAAGATTTTTCTTTTTTTACTAATTTTAATGAAAGGGGGAAAAGTCAGTATTACCATATTTCTTGTAAATGTTTCTATTTTGATAAAAAATGCAGAAAATAAAAAATTCCCTAAGATTTATAATTTCATTTTGTTGTCCACTTTTTGTGCTTTTTTAGTACATATTTAACTGGAAGACAGTATTAATGTCCATCTTACTGCAGACTTTGCTGCATTTCTGTAAGTCAGGGAAGTGCTTTCTCCATATGTTAGGTGAGAACTGACACATGGAAGTTGCTCAGGAGCTGAGGATTGATCAGGAGCTCAGGTTCCACTTTTACAGCTTCAAGGCTAATGCCATTATCATTAAGGCAGTTTTACTTTCCTCAGAACTGCTTTTAGTCCTTCTTCTGTCCTATCTTTTTGGAAGCGTTGAAAACAGTAATAATTAAGACCCCAAATTGATAACGGTCTTCTTCACTTTCCATTTCAAATTCAGAAATTTCCTCGGAGATTATGCTGCTTGAGGTACAGAAAAGACAGTATTCTGGATTAATTATTTTTCACTGTCCACTCAAATTTGAAGAAGTGGATTAATGCTGGTAGTAAAACTATCCTGCTGTAAAGCAGGATTGATGGATCATAGTGCACATACAGTTCAGCCTGGTCTGCTGTGCTGTTGGGAGGCAGGGACTGAGCAGTACATTCAAAACTTGGAAAAATAACTAGTTCTTGTTTGCAAGTTTTCTGGTGATGTCTTGCAAACAAATTGGCAAAGGTGTGAATCCACTGTTCACCTTTACATTGATGCTTTACACTGATGTTTATGCTTGTTGTTTCAGATTCTGGGTAGATTATCTCACTCTGTAATTTCTTCATTCTGTATTAAAATAGCATGTGCGAAGCAAAAAAAGCAAGGAGACACTAGGCTCCATAATCATAATGGAGATGGAAAAAGTTTATGGAGATTTCAAGCAATCCTCTTTCTTAGTCCATATTATATCTGGTTTGTTTTTAAGTGGTTCTGTTGATGGTGTTCCTGCCACTTTCCTGGAAAAACTGTTTCATTCCCATTATTCGGCAACATTTCCAGAGATTTATATTGTTTTCCTCTGCTTGGCTGCCTTTCATTTCCCCAACTTACAACAAGATGGTCCACCTATGGCAAGTTCTTTCCTTGCAGAAGGTTTTATTTTTTGCTCTGTGACTGCCAGGAGTGCTATATGAGGCCAGGAATTTCCTCTATCGCTCTTAGGCCCCCTTTGTGCCGCATTTATTCAGTCGGTGTCACATTTTTCACATATGAGTTGCAAGGACAGGAAGCTACTCCAGCAAATAACTGGTGTTCAGCAGCAAAATCTGAATCTTTTATGTGGGCTGCTCACGTTGGTTTTTTTTTTTCCCCATAATTTACATGGTTCACCTTTTTTTTTAATTCGCTCTAATTTGTTGACATCTGTCTGATTCTTTCTGAGTGCAGCTTTGCTACAGCTGTTTTATAAAAGAGCTGTCATCTTGGTTAAAGGACTTGAGGCTTCCTGGCACACAGTCTTACTCCACTGTAGCTTTAAGAGCTGCTGTGGAAGCCTATTCCTGATTATTCTCTTCTTTCCCTCCTGTCTTTTGAGTAACTTTTTGCTTCTTGATTATCTCTCAAAGAAGAAACTGAATCCAGCAGTGTTAGGTCTGAAGTTTGCAGGACCCCTGTTAAAAATACTAATCACTCCTGATTTTAAAATTCTGATTCTCCTCCACTGTTATTTCTGAAAGTGTTCTCCTTGACCACTATGTAGAAGCATTGATCTCCTTGACCATAAATAGAAGTGTTTGTGTACAACTGTGTGACTCTGAGGAGGTTGGTATGATCACGTACTTACAAAATCCTGGCTTTGTTATTTTCTAGGTATTTGGTGCTAGAACATGTGTCAGGTGGGGAGCTCTTCGACTATCTCGTAAAAAAGGGAAGATTGACACCAAAAGAAGCCAGGAAGTTCTTCCGACAAATCATCTCTGCTTTAGACTTCTGCCATAGTCATTCAATATGGTGAGTACAGCCATTTCCACAGGAGTTACCTGTTACATAAAAGCACATAATAAAGGGATCTTACCTTGATATTTTTACTTTCTGATAAATTACTGATGTTGTAAAGCTCTAAAAGCATTGGGTAAAATACTGATGTATTTTTTAATTCTTGACCATCTGTGAGACAATGTACCAGTCACAGACTTTTCATGGAGAAGATTGTCTGTCATTTTTCACTGGAGGAGAATTCATTCACAAGGTAATGCTTTAAACAGAAAACCCAAAACTACCAAAGAAAAACAGTTTCATTTCCGTAATTTTTGGGGCACTTACTAATAATTAAGAATTATATACACTATATCAAAATGAATCCCTGAAGAAACCTGGGACGATTACAAATACAGCAAAGTCATTTTACGGCTTCCTTCATTTTTTGAAAACCTGCTGGCTTTTGGCAACCTTCACTAAGTCCGTTCTGGGCATTTGAATCACCATTGCCTTCAATTTCCTTTCCAATAGGGAAGAATTTTCTTATACTTTCGAATTCCATCATATTATTTAACCATCGGGTGTGGTTTAACCTGTGATATCAGGTGGTGTTTTAAATTGGACCAGTTTCTCCTTCATCTCCAGCAAGTTTAGGTAATTTAAATTATACTGAAATCAAGTTGTTGTAATCAGTCTGAGCACAAGAGTTTCTGTATAGCTGCTGACCCATAACTGCCTGCTCCTTGCTCTCATAAATGCGTCTCCTTGCATTTAGATTGGCTGAGGGAGAACATCTACGTTATGTCTGCGTGGCTGCTTCTCCATAGCCACAGCCAGCCATAGATCCCCCACTCCAGGAGGCCAAGGGCCACGGATAGATATTGCAGTAGCTGGATTTGCATAATCACTGTGTGGTTACTTCTCAGCAGCCTTACAGGGATTTTCTGTACCCCCAGTTCTGTGCTGAAAACTCACAAACCAGATGGCCCCAGCATAAAAGGCTACAGCAAAAATGGATGCTTAAATATTTAACTTGCTTTTTTAGCCCTCCCCCATCATCTCTGACTCATTTCAACAGGAAATAGTAATCAGAAAGAAAGCATATTTCTAAATGGAAAGAAGAGCCTTTCTTGAGGATATATTGAGAAGAGTGTACTGTTAGCAGAAGAGACAGTTCGAAGGTGATAGATCTGGGTGAGACAGTCCTGAGGACAATGTCTGCCTGGTACAGTCAGGGTTACAATAGTCAGAGAAATTCCCAAAGAGGCCAAGAACAGGTTGCATACCCTAACTAGAAGATCTAAGTTTACTCTATTGACAGAGATGTCTGATCAATTTTATTCTGTGAATTCCACAATTTTTCCTCCTTGCTAATCAACTGCACTGAGTGATCCTGACCATTTTAGAACCAGCATACAACCTTGGTAGGTTGCAGAGCTGTTATTTTTTATGTACACTGGGCCGTGTAACCACTGGTGGATTGCATACATACATGTTTCTGTTTCCTAATTGGCTTAATACTTAGAAATCCAATCCAAGAAGACTCGAAAATGTTTAAGTACAACTGAAGAGAAATTATTTACTCTTCCAAATGAATATTCTGGAGAAATCTGAATCTCCATTGGGATAGTTTGTACTAAAAATGCATATATGCACATACAAGCTAGTCCTTTGGGCTTATGATGGATACCTCTTGATCTGGGAGACTTTAATAAACTGAGTGAGGATCATGGTGAGTCTCATGTCAGACAGACAGGCAAGCACCTCTGCAGGTTTAACAATATGTGAAATCTTCAAGGCAGAGTGCATTTCTCTCTTGAGGAATCAATTTTCCTCTGTTAAACATATTGGATTGTGGGCAGTAGTCTTGCTAATAAGTAAATCCCCTGTCTCCTTGCTAACTCCCACTTGACAAGCATCTAGTGCTGAATAAGTTAGCAGTAAATCATAAGCTCTCCCTCCGGGTCACTCTGAGACTCGTGTGGTCTGTGTTATATTAGATTCTGTGTTGTATTCTAGACAGTTACCAGAGAATCGGAGCATGCATAAATACATATGTGTGCATGTGTGTGAGTATAAAAGTTAATGTGCTTTTCTAAGCAATGAAGCCTGACCTTGTCCTGTTGTGGGGCAGTGAAATGACAAATCATCTCATCAGCCAGGTTATCCAGTTATGACCACGTTGAAAAATGAAGGCTTCTGCTTTGGTTAATGACTAAATGTGTGTGCTTCTGACGTACTGGCAGAATAGATTGATGGTCTGCTATCCCCAGCCCCATGTCATTGTCCCATCTTCTTCCTGTACCTCCCAAAACACTGAAATACCTGTGGCTTGCTTTCACGGAAGTATGTAACCACAGTCAGCATTCACTGCTCAAAATGCATTGACGCACCAGGATTCAGGAAGGATTCCTCAATCCTCCCATCAGTAAAAGGCTTTTGCTGCTACTGTGTGGAGAGAGAGCCTCTGTCTGAGAGGTGTTTTCAAACAAGCAGCTGAGAAAAGGAAGTAGAATAGGTGTGGAGCTTGAGTCTGTTTGTGTGTTGTTTTAAAAATGTATGTGCTTTCTGTTCTTGTTCTATTTACTGGAAACAGTGGGGGAATATTTGATGTACCTCACTCTGTGGTGCAGTCACTTATGGGGTTTTTATGATATAGGTTGTCCACAGGAGAATGCTTATAGATAACCCACTGTAGGGTCCTCTGAGGACTTCTGTGTGTACACAGCCCTGTGCCAGGCTAGGGACCCACAGGCAACCGTGCAGCAAACTGACAGCACCACGCAGAGGTATCTCGTGGGATCCTGTATTACCTTGCTGCTTTGCCTGAGCTGGCAAGCTAAGCAGTTAGCTCAGTGATGCAGCATTATTGCTTCTACTTCCAGCTCTCCCTCTGTGCTTGCTCTGAGGGCTCTGCACTGCGCTGCAGTGCCTGGAGCAGACGCACTCAGCAGCGGTGCAAGAAATGGCAGAGGAACCCGAGGTTCCTCAGGCATCAGTTTAAGACCATCTAAGCCTGGAAAGTTTTCTTTGGACAGAAGTGATGATGGTTGTTTTTTTTCCTAAGCTGCCATTCACCTAATACTGGGTGTCTGCTTTCCTGAATTCAGGGCCTTTAAGATACCTCTGCTGGGTGCCCCAAATCAATAGTCCCTTTTGAATGTCCTGCCACCATACTGTGGGAGAGCTCTCGGCTAATTCGGTGCCGACTGTATTTTCTGTCGGAAAGAATGTGTGAGCACGTATTGGGGTAGGTCACAAATCCTCGGTTTCCTCGGGAAGAGCCTCTTTGATGTCGGTGTTGGGGATGCTGCAGCGGCAGCCGCGGGTGGGAGCGGAGGGAGGGCTGGCGGGAGCCGCATTGGCTGGGCGTGACATCACCGGCGGGAGCGGGGATTGGCGCCGCGCGTCCTCCCGGCCCCGGGCTCCGGCTTTGGTCGGGCTCGTATTCGGTGTCTGCATCTCACAAGCTGACAAATAAAAATATGATTACAGAAAATGCCCCGTGGCAAACCTTATTATGGCTTCAGAGATAACAGATAATGCCAATTACTGCGCAGGGCAGTGGTGACATTGAGAGGAAATCCCCTGCGGTAATGAGCAGTGAGATGATTATTTCATTTTATTTTTATTTTGGTTGCGTTTCATTTTGTGGGTTTGGTTTTTTCCCTGAGCATACACAAGAGGGGTTAAGGCAGGTTCTTTATGAATATTGATAAATGACAATTATGAGGACCCTTTCTCCTTTCATTGCCTGGGGCTGTGCTTGTTCGAGTACACACAAGGAAGGCTCTTGCTGAAGTGTGTCTGTGTGTGCATGCGTAGGCACGGGGGTGTGTGACTTAAAGGGCTGAGGCAGTGAATAAGAGCTTTGTTTGACTTTGCCTTGTGTTCTTCCCCTCAGTGCAGAGGGGGAAAGGCTCCTCATAAAATAACACATTCACAGCAGCGGTGCCAAAATCTCTGGTATATTCCTGCAGGCAGGAGCTGCAGAGCACTGTCAGTAAGGAAAGCATCCTTTTAGGGAGAAATCTGGGGTGTCTCTGAGAAACAGAGAAAGCTGAAGAATGCCAGGTGCCACGTTCTGTCAGATAGTGCCACCCTCCTCATGACTCCTGCTCTGCCTTACTTCATAAGGAGCCTGCTGTGGTGTTCTGCAGGGAGGGTCTGTCAAATGCTGAATACTGCAGCAGTTGGACACCTTGAAATCATGACTCAAGGCCTCCAAATGTGAAATTGGTCTAGAAATTGTGGAATTTAATAAGGTTGGTTGCTGTTTTGGATTTTTTTTTCTGGTCCTTCAGTCTTTAGGTTTTCAAGTTCTCTTTCAGGCTATCAGAAGTGAGAAGGGTACGTTTTTCCCCTGTTGAGAGCTGATATTCACCAATCATTACCTGAATCCAGGAGTTTCCGATCTGTGATCAAGACTCACTGTAAAACAGTGAGGAATTTTCAGATAACCCTTGTACAGGAAACCAGAGAAAACCCATCAAGTGTAGCAGCTGCAGTGCCAAAGGCAAAGTTACCAGTTCAGCTAAAGTCAGAGAACATGTATTTTTGTAAGTTTACTTCTTTATATAAGCCACCGGAGACTCAAAAATAGCATAGTCTTATTGTAAGCATAGCCAGGTAACACTCTCTGGCAAGTACAGCAGTAGTGATCAGACCTGACTAGCTGTTCTGGCTTTGAAATGCATGACTATATGTTTTGAGGAGAGGTTGGTAGGGAGGAACAATACATTTTAATAGATTAATGGAAATAATTGTTAAAAAAGCAAGCAATGTTTTATGCATACAAATCCTTCCCCAGGATTCCTGATATGTTTATAGATGTTGTCCCTTTTCCTAGCTATAGTTATATTTACTTGCTCTGCAGAATTCTGTGAAAACTTACTAAATTTGAGCATAGCAACCATGGCTGTAAACAAAGATTCTTCTGTAGGTAGATACAAGTTACGTGTTTGGATCTGATTTGCAGAAGCAGGAGAAAATAAGATTAAAGGCTTTTTCTGCTCATGAAATTTAAAATAATG